CCGACTATATATAGTTTTTTTTTTTTTTTTTTTTTTTTTACATCTATCACAATGTAATTTTAACTTTGATATGTACAGTACAATGTACCAACACACTGTGATGATGCACTTTTACATACACCTGATTTAAAAACCTGCAATAACTGATTTTTTTTTTTTCCTTTGGCCATTTGTTATAAATCAGTTGCTTATTTACGCAACCAGTGAACAGAAAGAACATTAACATTTTACATGATAAATGTACAGTAATTCTAATATTCACTCTGTTAGCTCTGGTCTCCAACTCCTGAAGGAGTTATTTAAGCCGCTAAATGCTCCACTACATTCACCAGGTAGTCGCTAACACTGTCTGTCTGCTGCTACTGAAACGAGTCTAATGAAACACACCGAACCACCATGGAGCTGATGGAAACTACAGTTTGTGTACAACTGTCTGTGGGGTTGTTACTATAAGCAACACATTCAGCAGAATCTTTCATCATGACTAGAGTAAAACTCGGAGGGAACTACTCAACAGTACTGACTGACTGAAATACTCCAACATCAGTGAGACATACAGTTGTTTCATTGAGACGGCTGGGCAGGCTGCCTGATGTTGGCACACAGCAGCTGGGTTCGAATGGTTCATCCAGGGGATTGAAGGCGCTGACACTGCGGGCCATGGGCGCTCCAGGGGAAATCACTCCCTGCCGGCACTCTGCGAAGATGTTGATACCTTGAGCCCTGGTTGATCGAGTTCAAAAAGACAAAGCAAAGACAGCTTGTAACACCAACACAAAACTCAGCACAGTCAGTGTCAAAGGGGGCTGTGACTTTCTTTTTGAAGAAAATGTATTTCTAGTCTGAAAAGCAGTTAAACAAGGTGTGGTATAGTTTCACTTTTTTAAATTAGAAAAATCACACTGACAAGCAGAATCTAGATGTTTAAATCACAATAATGTTTGACCAAAAACGCAAAACACACCAAGTTACAATGCTTTATTTCTGCCTGCTATCTGGGCATCATGCGCTGTTCATCCCTATCAGTCACACATTTCATGAGGGGTTCAATACAAGCTTGGGGGCTCTCCTTCCCCACACATGTGCACATAGAGCTTTGTTAGGAGCAGCTGCTGCACACTGCTCTTTTACAATGCAGATGTGGAACATCTGGATGCAGCTAAAGGAAATCCCTACTTCAAAAGCATTGTGTAATCAGACAAACTGGAAGCTGCATGAAGATGAGCTGGAAAAAAAACATACACCACATCTGACAATGCCTCACAACAACAACGTGTACATTTTTTATCCTGAGGAAATGAAAATTGAAAAAGTAATTAGGTTATTCTGCATATTCACATTTGTAGTGATGTACAGCAGTTCTTTTCTGAATTCAAGGAGATGATGTGTGGCCATGCATAAAAAATACAGGACCCGAGGTTTAATAGTATAGTTAAAGTTTTGACAGTACTTTAATAGTCCTTTAACTTCATTAAGCTCTCAGTAGATAGAGATAATGTTGTACAGCAACATTTTAATTAACATGTAATCTGTTCGAGTTTCCCTCATTCAATAATATTGCTTGTCTGATAGTAGGTAAATGTCATAAAAAATATTGTCTGTAATGTCACCGCCAAAGCTCTTGTTTCAAACTTCCATAAGAATGTTTGTTTATTTATTTTTACCCTTGACTTAACTACAAGTTTTTTTTCATTCTGCTCTTCAGAATGTGATGTACTGGGGGTGGCTGTGGCTCAGGAGGTAGAGCAGGTTCTTTCCTAACTGGAGGATTAGCGGTTTGATTCCCGGCTTGTCTAGTCAACATGTCGAAGTGTCCTTCACCAAGACACAGAACCCCAGTTGCTCCTGGTGATAACACTGGTGTGTGAATGTGTGAGCGTTTGTGAGTGCGAATGGGTGAATGGCCAAGCAGTGTGAAAGCGCTTTGAGTGTGTATAGCGTAGAAAAGCGCTATACAAGTATAAGACCATTTACTGTAGCAGCACTGAGTGACAGTGAGTACCTTCCGCTTCCTGAGTACTCCTGGACAGCAATCACAGGGGAGGGAGGGGAGACAGCTGTTGTGGGACAGGGCGTGGACAAGGTGGACGTCCCCGTGTCCAAACCAGTGGAAGCAGAGTATGATGACGTCATTCCCTCATCCACTGATGGACTAACCTTCAGGAAAAGCCTGTGGGAGTGAGAGAAAAAAGGCACACGGAGGAAAGAAATCAGTTAACATCCTGAAAGTCAATACTCATGTTTCTGGACTTTTATATAACCTGTTTGTGTCTTTTAAACATGGGAAAATAAACTTGCTTTGATTACAAGTTCATTTAATTTTGTTCACTTTTTTGTAACAATGCAACTACTGATCCCTGTGAATCACTGATTTGGATAGAGGAGGGAATCTCTGGGAGTCCTACATGTGGCCTAGTCTGATTCTTGGTGTCATGTGATACTTTGGCAATATGCTATAAAAATGAACTATTAGACACTTGATCTTGAAAAAGCCAATAATAAATACATTAGCAGAAAAAACATTAATATAAAATAATCTAAAAATCCTACTGAAATGGATCATTTCCTACCTGTCACACAAAAACACTTTTGTCATGTTTACCTGCCGGGTCCTCGCATGTCCCTGATCTCCACATTCAGGAAGGGCAGGAAGGGGTTTCCACAGAAGGGGCAGGTGGTGTTCAGGTTGGAGTCATCTGCTGTCCACCCGGCCATGATCTCCTCATCATACACTAGGCAGTCGCATGTTTTACAGCGGGAACAGCTGGAGATCAATAACTAGAAACAGCCAACACACAGAGGAAGACACTGGTTTAGTGATTATGTCTTGACAAGGTACACAACAGAAATCATTCTCCTCTTGCTGTGTTTCCTCATAAGATATGAACTACAAATGCCTGATTGTGACAAACTGTACTAAAGGCAGCCTCCAGTGAAAGTAAAAAAAAAAAAACTTAAATGTTACAGCATTGTATTTTTATCAGAAAGCAAATAGCAGAGACTGTTAGAGGCATTTTATGCATTTGTTTTATTTAAAAAGACATTTAACTTGTGCATAAAGATGTTTTGTATCAAACATTATTTCTGGTTTCTTGACTTTTGCAGTCTCCTTTGACCCAGTAGCTAAATTCTAACTTTCTACTTTCCACCTTGTAGTTTTACCTCCATGGCGTAGTTGTTGAAGATGCTGGTGTTGCTGGTGTAGCATGAAGAGCCAAGGTCCGACTTGTCTGACAGAGGGACGCCAGAAGGTTAGATTATGAAGAATGACCCAAATATGTGACAACAGCTAGAGAGTCAGTATGTCACCTGTAGTACAGTACATATTTACTGACACATTTCTGAGGTAACCATCATCATTGTAGACATGACCAGCATTCCTTATTGATGCTTTAGGACTTCTCTTGGTGAGATGTTTTTATTGTTAAGAAAAAAGAAAAATATTACATATTTAATGCTTTTTTTGGGGTATTTTATGCCTTTTAACTGATTCTTCTAACAGGCTGTGCCTGATATTTTCCATCTAATGCTTTCTCTCATTCTCAGTAAACAAAAAGCACCTGTGGTAATAAAGAACTGAATATTCAGTTGAGAGTTACAGTACAACATTCAAAATATGAATATATTTACAGTTTTTCATGTCTGCCCCTCTGAAAAAGGCCCCATGGTAGAGCTCCTTCTCCTAACATACAAAGCCCTTAATGACAAGGCTCCATCGTATCTTAAAGACCTCATAGAGCCTTATCATCCTAACAGAACACTTCGCTCTCAGAGTGCAGGTTTACTTGTGGTTCCTAGAGTCCACAGAAGTAGAATGGGAGGCAGAGCCTTTAGCTATTAAGCTCCTCTCCTATGGAACCAACTCCCAGTCTCAGTTCTGGAGGCAGACACCCTCTCTACCTTTAAGATTAGACTTAAGACGTTCTTTTTTGATAAAGTTTATAGTTAGGGCTGGATCAGGTGTCCCTGAGCCTCCCTTAGGTAGGTAGGTAGGTAGGTAGGTACTTTATTGATCTCACAGTGGGGAAATTTCTATGTTACAGCAGCAATAGAGAACAATCAACATAACACCATAAGAACAGACACATAAGAATAGAACTTCATAGAAACACGGGAAAGAACACAACGAGGACACAGCTGTTGTAACTTGCTGCCACTTTGCGCAGCACATGCGTATGTAAGTACGTAGTAACAAAGAACACTTAGTCTTAAAATAAAAAGTTACTTATGCTGCTTTAGGCCTAGACTGCTGGGACTGCTGCATGATGTTCTAAGCTCCTCTCCTCCCCTCTCCTCTCCTTTCCTCTCTCTCCATGTATCTATATGCCACCATTACACATCACTAACTCCTGTAGTGTGTGTTCTCTCTCTCTCTCTCTCTCTCCCTGTACCTTTCTGCAGGTTGCCCTGGCTCTGGAACTCTACATTTCTGATGAACAGTCACCGGCCACATCAACCTGATCAGTGTTTCATTGTTGCTGTGTTTGTTTGTTGCATATTGTTGCTTTTTTTCTATTCTCTCTCCTCTATCCACTCACACCAACTGGTCGAGGCAGAATGCCGCCCACCAAGAGCCGGGGTCTGTCGGAGGTTTCTTCCATTAAGTGATTGATTTATTTCCAAACAAAGATTTTATGCTGCAATTTTAATTATTTCTTCACTGAAAACTGACATAAAAAAATTGCAAAGAATAACATAGAACTACTGCTTCGGTTGTATGCCTCCAGCAACCAGTCAAATTCACTGGTATGGAACAGAAGTTAGGTCACCGAACTTTGATCACCAAAATCTAATCACTTCACCTTTGAGTCCAACTGGACATGTGTGCCAAATTTGAAGAAGTTCCCCCAAAGTGTTCTTGAGATATTGCATTCAAAAGATTTCTATGGATGGACGGACAACCCAAAAACATAATAAAAATGACATTCAATTCAATTCCATTCAAGTTAATTTGTATAGCGCCAAATCACAACAAAAGTCATCTCAGGACACTTTACAAAATCAGGTCTAGATCATACTATTATTATTGTTTTAGAGGGGAAACTCAACAAATCCCCCTTTAGCAAGCACTTGGCGACAGGGAGGAGGGAAAAACTCCCTTTAAGGAACTTTTTTTGGAATTTCACTATAACAGAAACTATCAACACAAGTTGATGTCATGTTTCTTCAGTCACCAGTCTTCTGTATTTGACAAAATGAAACTAGATTTTTGATTGGATCTAGAAAACTTCTGCACCATCATTTTCACTGGGATGACAGTCATTCCTACCTGGGAGCAGAGATGTGGCTCTCCCAAAGCTGGAGCCTGCAGTGGGGCTGTCTAGTCTGCTGCGGAGGGGGCTGTGTCTGGGGCTCCTGCAGGGTCCCATGGGGCCAATAGGGCCATTCCTCTGTGGAGAGACCATGGACCTCTCTAACTCCCCACAGTCCTCCTCATCCAGCAAGGAGGAGCAATCTGGGTCTCCAATACCAAGGGAGGATGTGCTCAGACGGTTACTGTGACTGTCCTGGATGAACATGCATGTAAGAGAGCCGGGCAGGTTAATGTCATCATGGACTACACAGGTGTCTAATCTTAAAACTATAATTCTTTCAGCAATTACACAAAGTTAAACACTGACTAACAACTAAGACTCTTCACACGAGGTACTCATGACCTTAATTACACAAATAACTTATCTAAAGATATCATTTACAGACCTCAGGTACAATACAGTTGGCTTTTTACAGTTGTCTAAAACTGAACAGAAGCAAAGCTAAACTTAAGAGTTCACACAGTCATGTTGGCAGATCTCCAAGCTACATTTCAGCACTATCACAGAATAAAACAAAATCTTGGCAGGGGGTTGATATCCTGATATCAACTCCCTGCCAACCCCAGGTGAGCTCTGGCACTGACTATGGATTAGTGATTGCAAAAAACTGAAGACATGTATTGTCTGCACTAGAAGAGTTGCTTTTTGTTTGTTAGTTTTTTCTCTATGGCTGTTATTGATCGATTCTGGAAACAATATCACTTGGAGAGCGGATTTTACCAATACACTTGGCCAAGACAGGGTCGTACATATTGTCCAAAGGAAAACTACTATTAGACACTCAGGACCACAAGATGGCAGCAGCACTCCAACTTATCTTGGACCACTGCTAATGAAGCCTGAAAATGATCTATACTGCAATAATACACCAGTTTCTATGCAGCCCATTTATTACACTTGTATGTGCATTCATTGCATTACTTTACACAAATAGATTGAGATGTGTGTGATCTGTCTTTTTTCAGTGAAAATACACAATATACTGTAGGTTTAAAATCAGGTGAATTTTTTTATAGAACCTATCTGAAGTATTCTTGCTCTTAAAACATAACAGTGTCAGAGCAACTTAAAAATCTTATCACAGTGATCCTGGGGCCTAAAAATAGGAGCATAGGTCAGAAGAGGCTGAGAAACCCAGTGATTTTGATTTTTTTTTTTTTAGTTTTTCCTAGTCTAGGCATCTTATGCTTGCCATTCATTTTCTGTATGAAAATTCATATTAAAAATGCAGTGAGCATTACCACACACCATTAAGTTTACTTTGACAGCAAGACTGTATATCTTGGTAGGTGTAATATATGTAGCAAGACAAGAATACCAGGAGCTTGCCTTCTCTGCCACGCCCTTCCCAGCAGAGAACACACTGGTCTTGAACACATCCAGTGTTGGTGTGAGCAAAGTGTCCAGAGTGAAAGAAGAGGAGGGTGAAGGTGACACAGGGCTCATCCTGTCTGTTCTCTCTCTGCAGGGACTGGGTCCAGGGCTGGGGGTGGTGCTAGAGCTGCAAGAGGGGGGTGATGACAACAGACATTGGCGTGAGACCGGTTGGGAGGGTGAGGGCGGGTGGTATGTGTGAGAGCGTGGTACTCCAACCGTCCTGAGGGGGGAGCTATGGGGCAGGCTGGCTCTGCAGGGAGCAGAGAGCAAAGAGGGGTGAAGTAGAAGGGGGCCAGCTGGGACCTGCAGGTTCAGACTAGGTGTGCGACTACTCAGTGGGCTGCCCATGTGGTTCATGTAGAGCTCAATCTCCTTGGCCAGATGCCTACGGGCGCTTGGTGTGCTGGTGTCATCCCCCTCTAGGTACTGATCATCATTTTGTTGCTTAGACTGTGACTCTGCTGCCAGCAGGGATAGAGGGTCGTAGCCTGTCTTGATGCCTGTGCGCTTGACAGTTCCTCTGGACGTCGTATTGCTCATGTCACTGTAGCTTACGCTGCGTTCGACAGGTTTCTTGTAAGATTTTTTGGTTTTGTGTAAGCTGATGCCAGCGCCTTTGGTAGGATTGTCCAAATCCAGATCCTCCAAATCAAAAATGGTGTCTATATTACTTTTGTCCTCATCACTGGAGTCTTGTCCCTCCATCACCTCTTCCGCCTCTCTGTGAATACAACTTCTGACAGCATCTGCCTTAGCAGCCACCTTGTCTAATCCACCCAAAACCAGTGAATTAGGCCTCTTACTCCTAATAAATTTGGCGCTGGAGAGAATTTTGGCATCTGCACCCAGGTGTCCTGCAATCTTCTCTGGGTCAGTTTCACCCTGACTCATACCCAGGCCAAGGACAGTGGTGCCACTGCCACTGCTGCCCACCGTGTTGCTGCTCAGCCAGCATCCCCTCCCACCCTGCCACTCAAAAGCTAAGCCTCTGCTGGTACTGCCAACTACCTCCTCCAGGGCACTTTTATGTCTCCTGAGCAAACTGCTGGTCTGGACCTCGCCAATCTCATCCAGGGAGGAAGTAAAGAGGAGACCTGCAACATGGCCTTAGAGAGAAGATGGGGGGGGGATTGAAATAATTAAAGCTGATTCCCATAACAACCTGGAGTATTGGTAAGTTATCTAGAAGACTCAGGTTTTTATGTTGAGGAACATTGGGAACTTACAATGAAGGAAAACATCAGTTACCCATATTACCTACCACTTTGCAAATGATTAATTTTGTTTTCTTCTTTACCTGTGCTTGTAGAGCTCTTTGGTTTACAGGATGAATTGTTATATGGACAGCTGCTGCGAACTATTCCACAAGTTTTGGAGGAGGAAGGGGCCTCCATGTCCAGCTGAGGAAGGCAGTCTTTACTTCCCTTTGTGCTCTCTGTCTCTGACACTACAAACACAGATATTACTATTTAAAATGTCTTTTTTTTTTACTACTATGTGCACACCTTGATAAACAGCATTGTTCTTCTGAAATTCACTGAAGGACACCACACATCTGAATACTCTGTTGTGCATGAGAAAAAAGAATGAATCATCTCTGGAAGAGGCAGAAAGATCAAGAAAGAGGAAGGGAAAATCCTGTGCAGCTACAGTGGTGCCAAATGATACAGTATATTTTTCTAAGTTACAGTAGACAGTGATATCAGATCAGATACATTACTGACAGGAGCTGCAGTCGCTCTCCTTCTTGCCATCTTTGCCAGGGGCAGAGTCCTGGGCACTGGGGTCTCCTCTCCGAACCTCCTCTTTGGACAGTGAGTTGTAACCCAAATCTGATTGATCTCCTAAAGAACAAGAGAAACAGATAAAGACACTGACTACAAAAAAGAATGGTGACACAATAATAACAAGATATTAAAGCACAAAATCATACAAATATACAACACAGCTAATGATAAATCTGTGAAGGAAGGACTCAAGTACAACATTTTCAAGATGGCACCTTGAGCTCAAACTTACTGCTATTCAATGCCACTCTGTGTGATATCTCTCCTATTACTGAACAAAGTGTAATTTAGTTTCATAGTATCTACTACAAATGACCAAAACATTTTTTACAAAAAAAATGTAGCTTTTCACTGTGGTAGGAGACATAAATGAAACAGACATAAGAAAAAAATAGTAACTGCTGAGTTATTGCAGGAAGAAACAGCAGCTATGCTGTGCTGTGCTGAATAAAATAACCCTCTTTAGGGCATTTACAGATCTACACTACTGTGAGCAAACAAACTACAGTTCCACAGTTGCTAATGAATTTGACTGTTAAGTCTTGACATTGAGGGGATAAAAAACCTGCCATCACTCCAGGCTGACTCTTCCTTCTGTCTCTAAATCTTCCCTGGGTCTCCAGGCAACCAGCTGTCTGATGATTTGTTCTCCTCTTTCATCTTTCACATGAACCTCTCTGGCCGTCCTCTCTAAATAAACCATGAAGCTGCGTGGCTCAAGTGGAATACAGTATAGATAAACTGGTGGCATGACAAAACTCACTCCAGGACAATAATAATAATTAATTAACTGAGCATTGTGTCCTTCCCTCCTGCTATGCTATGAGATGTGGTTCTCTCTCATTCTTTCTGCACACAAAGTGAAGCCTCCTGCAGAGGTGCCATCTCCATGATTAAAATTATTTCCGTAATCAAAAAGAATGTGCTTCTGGGTAATGACTTGCCATAATTGATGGCAATGACAAATCACTCAGTGCTGAAGTGAGGAGCGAGAGTGAGAGAGACACAAAAGAGAGATGAGCAACGGAGCAGCAGCCGACTGTGCTGCGTTGATAGACACATGACAGAGTGGAAAAAAAAAATGAGGCAAGATCACACAAAGGGAAACAGGGAAAAAACGTGTGACAATAAGAGGGCTGAAGAAGTGAAAAAAATGCTGCAGAGCAGATGAGATGAGACAGAAATGCAACTGGAGAAAAAGAGCGACAAGCTGAAAAAGAGGTTTACCTGGGTGGACGGTGGCTTCTCTGAGCTCAGAGCCCCCCCAGTGTGAGTGGGCCGCCAGGGCCCTGGCCCCCACGCTGCCGCCCCCACGACCAACTGCATGCAAGGGCAACACAGGCAGGGCCAGAGTGAAAGACAGGGTTTGGGACAGAGCAGAGCAGACACCACAGCCACAAAACCAGGGAAAGACATAAATGTACAACAGGGATGAAAGGAAGATTGGAAAATAGTGAGTGGGACAAATGAGGAAGGAAGATAAAAAATGTTACTGAGAGAAAGAAAGAGATGTATAACAGATGGTTGGCCACAAAAGATGGAGTAAGGCAGCAGCGATGTTGTGTACCTGTGCTAGATCTATCATCAGTGGGGTCTACTTTGACGGAGTCAGTGGGGTAGGGGCCCTGCTCAGCCAGGTTAGTGTCAGCAGAGCTATCCAAACTGCCATGACTCACAGCATCCAGGTCGCTGCCATCTATTCAAAGACAACAGGGAGTTAACTGATGCTGAGTACCTTCTCTGTTCCACAAGCTGTTAACTGTTCTTTTTATTCTTTTGAATATTTTTTATAAAAAATCTTTAAATGTCTATAATGTGAACTTTACACAATACTCAAGAAACAACAGTGTTTCTCACTTGTTGAATGTAGATAAAGTTATTAAGATTCTGAGAAGCACTTGATGCATCATAGGCATTTATCTGAAGTAAACTGAAGTGAAATTAAAGGACTCCAAATCAAACTGAACCAAGATCAGTATCAACATCCAGCCCTACATTCGATAGGCTTTCCCCAAGACATCGTGAAAGGTCCAAGCTGTGGCTCATAATCCAGCATAATTACATTATTTGACAAGCTGACAGAGTTACATATACAGTATGTGGAGCCCATTTCATGGACGATGAGGAGAGGTGCTGTGAGAACAACTCTGAAGAGCACGAATGTGCCATCACCAGTTGAGCTAAGAGGAGCTGGCGAGGGTTGTGCTGTTCATTATCAATGACTTTGTTTAGTGTTACCAATCTCTTTTCATCAGTTCACATACCATTCAGATTAATTAATGCTGCTGCTGTTCATCGTGTTGACCGCTTTCATATTCTGGTTCGAACATGTAAGGTAGGATTTGAGGCATTGTCACTGTGAAAAACAAATCTTCTATCAAATTTTTTTATTGATGCATTGTCCTAACTTTCTGACTGTGAACAGGAGTTGTGCGCATTCATGAACTATCCTCTCCTTTTCAGGAAGAGGCTCTCCTTGTGATATCGGGCTTTATCGTTCTGAAATAATTACACACTATTTGGAGTTATGATGGCTGCAAAGGTAATCTAGAGCAGCGGTCCCCAACCGTTTCATCACTGCGGACCGGTCAACGCTTGACAATTTGACCGCGGCCCGGGGGGGGGGGGGGGGGGGACGTAGAATGTTTATATTGTTAATATAATAATAAACGTGAATCCACTGTATTGAAAGTAAAAGAAAGAGCTCTATTATATTTGTTCATTCCTTATATGCAAACACAGCACTGTGCACACATTTGTGTATTGTTCATTTACTGTATGGTGATGCAATAAACCACCACAGCTGTTCTACTTTTCTATAACTCCTTGTAGTTACTTAAAATCAATACCACTCTAGTAGTGTCTCGATTTGCACTGGTCAAGACTAGAGGAGCTACAATAACAATAAGATAAATATCTCCCATGTAGCTATGCTTCACCACACAATGTTGTTTCCTCCTCAAATTCCAAGTCCAATATACAGTACAATAACTATCTTTGTACAGTGTTTCTGATTCACTCTGTAACACATGAGCAATTAGCTGGTCCAAGAAACAAAACCTGTATACAGTCCACCACAAACCAACCACAATCCTGGGAAACAAAGTGAAGGAAATTACACTATAAATACATAGACTAACTTTGAAAGATACCAAACTGACAGCTTAGCATAAACATCATAAGACCTTCAGTCAAACTGGGGTGCATTTTTGCACAGAACAAGAGCCGTGCAATTTATCTGCTATTTCTTACAGTGCAGTTGTGCTCCAGGTGAAAAGCTCCAAGGCTGGTGTGGAACATAAAGGAATGTCAATATTGTTTAAAGATGGACCTGTAAATCCAGAATTCATCCTTTAAGAACACAGTGCTGATGAGTTAAAAAAGCAGGGATTAGCAGGATATGGATTAGCATGCACTGGATGTGCAGGTGTTCACTGGCATGCAGGGGAGTTAAATATTCATATTTACCATATTTTTCACCACACTTCATAGTTTCACCTTTCAACTCTGATGGTATTGGTTTGGACTTTCTTCTCTGAAATTAGATGCGTCTATTTGAGACTGTATTGTTTGTAATATTAGCTTTCGATTTATCTTTTAAAGTCTTTAAACATTATCTACTTAGATTATATCTAGTATTTATCATTATCTATCTTAACTGTTTTATTTAAACAGTGCAAGCATGTTTCCATGTGTTTGTATTATTTGCTGTCATTACCTATATACCGTATTTATAGTTGACTAAAAATGTCTGTAGCTGCACAAGTGCATAAAAACAGACAGCAATGTGAGCAAGAGAATTTCAAATTTCTTCCTTTAATAAAGATTCTACTAAACTGTATTATATTAGTCATGTTTATACTGTTTTTCCCCACCTCATGCATAAAACCTTTGAGCTTCTTGTACATTTGTTAATTTTACAGTAATGGATGATGCCAATAAAAACTTTAAACTGTCTACATAAATGTCTAATAAAAATACAACTCAACACACAACTGTTCTAAACTAAAAAGAAAAGAAAAATTGTGATTATGGTGATAATGACAGTTGTTGGCATTTGACAGCCAGTAGTTCCTAATCTTTGGCCAGAGAAAAAATACAGAGCACAAACCACAACCTCAAAAGGCACTGGGCTTTGATGATACCTTTATTATTCAAATGTAGATAGGCAGTGTTAAGGTTAACAAGTCAAATACTGTACATCAATGCAATAAAGTTTAATCCTAATGTAATACTAAATCCGCTTGCAGTCCCTGGGATTGTGATCCCACTCTACAGACTTCACATTTGATCTGGGTTCACATTTTTTGAAAATGTGAAGGGGTATGTTTAAAGGTGTTAAAGGTCCAGCTGAAAGTGCGTTCTGACATCCTTGTTGTACTCTAAAATAATGTCAGTGTGTTTTAAAGATATTGTTAATAGTGTTGTATCATAAAAAGGAAGAAAAAAAACATACTGAGGGAAATATTCAAAATACTCCTTTTCCTTTACGCTGACTGGAGGGGCATGTCACCGTCTGTGTTTGACAGCAGACGGCAGGCAGCCAGAGTACCAGTGTTACACCAAAGGGAAGAAGGAGCAAAGTAAACAAACTTGCTCTGTAGCTTTACCGTACATCAAGAGTAGAACCACACCAGCAACTACAGTACAGTAACTGGACTGAAGTGACATTTTACATTCTGTTTAATGTTCTGCAGTTGAGCAGTTAATTAGGTCTCTAGCCTGAAAACCAACGTTAGCAGTGCACTTTTCCCGGTGAATGTTTGGCCACTTGTTCAACAAGCTATGTATGTTGAAAAGGAAAAGATGTGTCTTCAGGATCGCAAATGTTAAAGATGGACATATAGGAAAACTAAAATAGTTGTGTGTCTGTGGCTCTTGTGTTGTGTACCAGGCTGTTTCACTGTGACTGTCTACTCTATGATACAACATTGATGTTACTGATTTATGCAACATTTGATTGGCTGTGTCCAGATATGATTTCTATCTACAGAAATCTAAATCTTGTGATAGTCCATTGAACTGATGCAAAACTAATGGAAATTTATCCCTAAAGGTTTGTGGTTTTTCCCCTCAAAAGGGAACACAGAGCTGCTGATTTCCAGACCACTTATATATTTATGATGTAGTGGACAAAAACATGCAGTTTAATTTCAGTTGGTAATCAAGTTTAACTCCGCTTTGGATCACAAACAAACAAACTGTTTCATTAAAGAATGCAAACATAAAAACCACAACTTTGGAAATGTGTCAAGTTTGTAAGCTCATCCATGTCTTTGCCTCAGATTCTCTTAATTAAAACAATTTAGAAAAAAAAACAACAGCATCTCATTCCTCGGATATGCAGAGTGTTATTAACCACAGTTACCTGACAGAGGGCTCTGAGCGAGTGGACCATGTCGCCGTAGTGCCTGTTTGAACTGTGCCACGCTCAGAATGACATTTCTTAGCTTCATCCACAAGAAGTATCCTCCTCTTGTGCTGGAGGGCCACGTACTCTCCAACACTGTCTGGTCATGAGGAGAAGAGAGAGAGAAGGGAGGGAAGAGGAGGAAGTGCAAAACTACTGTTAACATTTTCTTTTGGCAGTGCTAGAGTCGGTTTTAATTCAAATTATTGTATAAAGTACATGGGTATTTTTCATACTCCACATATTACTTCCACCATGAAATGATCTTATATTAATCTGCTAACTAAATCAATGAAAACATAGTCGGAGTAGTGCGTGAACTGCAGTTCCAACTTCATTCACACAGTTTGAGCGCAATATTTTAAACCAAGTAAAACTGACCTAATCCCTGCTCCGTATAAGATAATCTTAAATGATTTTTCCAACAAAGGCATTAACTTCACAGTCACACTTGGGATCCGAGAAGCAAAGGCATTGCAGCTGCTGGTGGCCAAGTCACATCTGACTGCTGTCTGTCTGTGCCTAAAATATACTTCAAAAGTCCCCTGTGATCAAAAAGCATATTGGTATGCCACAAGCCAGACCTGGATTTATTACACTGGCTGCATATGGGAGGATTCTTACCTGGTGAAATGAGGCTGGCCTCCTGAGGATAGTGTCAGTGATATTGTTTAGACAACTAAAGCACAGCAGTGAGTCCACAAAGCCACTGACCTTTAAGTATTCATTAAGGCTCTACATGTAATGTGTTTATGTGTGGGAGCCCAGGAATGGACATTTCAAGCTATATGACATGATATGGTATACTACATTTATTGTTTTAGGCTGATATCATCTTCAAAGTTAAAGGGGAACTCCATTAATCTGGTAGGCTAGTGGTTAAGGCGCAGCCCTCTTGCCGCTGCGGCCCAGGTTCAAATCAGGGCCGCGTCAGGAAGGGCATCCGGCGTAAAACATGTGCCAAATGTCAACATGCGAGTCGTCAGTGTGACAATTCGCTGTGGCGACCCCTAAAAACGGGAAAAGCCGAAAGTGAGTTTCTTTTCATTAATCTTATACACCAGAGTCAGATCAGAGAGCCCAGAAGATGCTGCATATGTGAAAAAGACATCAAATCATATGAAGCTGTTTCAGATCTAATAAATGTCTTCAAGTTGGATGACGCTGCTACTGTTGGTGTCAGTGAAAGAGTCAGCCACCTTGTGCCTCCAAACCTTCTGTTTCTAAGATGAAATAAGATCCTCTCAGGTGCCAAGACATAGTGAAGTAATTTTTACGGCGGTTTTGTATCCTGAAAGCCTAGTCCCACATCAGCCAATTTACTTTTATGTTCCCTGGGATGGCAGACTGGGGACAAGTTGTGATGATAACAGAATCATGAGATTCATTCCTGACACCAAGGTGTGACCACTCATGACACAGTACATCCTAGGGGGAAAACTGGAAACGTCACCAATGTTTCTTTTTATACAGTCAGCAAGCTAAATGTCTGCAGAAGCATTACTGTGATGAAGAGGTATTAAGTTTTACGATTTAGCAGCCAAGTACAGTGGTGCAATAATTTGAATGCATGTGGCAATTGTGAATCATGAATAAACAATCATCATCCAGGCTGCAATCAGACTTCTTTATCATACAGCTTCCTGAGCTATACTTTTCAAGGGCATAGCTTAACTTTGTGATCTGTGTCTTTAGAGGTCATTTCACTTGACATGAATACTGTGAGTGTTATTTTCCATCACTACAGCATAAGGACTGATTTGTACAGGAGCCAATTATCCAGACTTTTACTGTACTTTTTTGCTCCAACTCAGCTCGTGTCTTCATCCTTCACACCTTACGGAAATAGGAGTATCCCCTTCCCAGTGATCTGGTGGACACCTGGCTGTGTGTGTTCACGCAATAATCAAACTTGCTTCGGAATAATATTCATAACACAGCCAATATCAGGGATACCACACCCAGGGTGACAGTACCATGTAGAACTGTACTTGGGGGTCCCAGTGCCAATATATTTTATCAGTTACTGTGCAAGATGCTTCAGTGGGTAGCTGTTGGTCAGTGTCACCAATTACGCACACTTGAAACCAAGACCGTTGTTTCTAAAAAAAACAAAAGTAACACAGCTGATGCTGTTAACTTGCTAAAAGAGATCATGCCCCATCTCTGATGTTGTAATTTGTGCACATGAATAAAAGCCACAGCCATTATTGGCAGACTTACAGTACATCCAACTACTCTGTCAAATGTAATCTATATAACTAATTACAACTTTATTATGTTGTGTAAAGCTACAGTAGTTACCTTGTTGTAGTAGCCATATGTGATGGCATTGGGGTGAACTCCAGCCTTCTTCATTTCAAAGAGGACCCTGACTGCTAGGACAGGCTGACCATACTGTCCACAGAGCTGCATCAGCACCCGGTAGCAGACCTGTACATAAACACATTTATCAGAAGGAAAAAGCTACTTTATTCTTGGGGGGGGGCGTTCAAACACAGTAAAAACACAAAAATGAGCATGTCTGGTTACTGCTTTGTTGAAATAAAGTGAGTTCAAACACTGTCATAATTAGTAAAACTTAACAATATGTTGAAATGCCAAGCAGGTACTTTTGGGAATGGCCAGTGTACCTCATCAGGGGCCTGTAGTTTCTTTGCCTGCATCTTCCTGAGGACATCGTAGGCGGTGCATAGTGCCCGCACCTTAGAGTGGCACACCTTTACGTATGCTGGCAAACAGATAAACCACAGACCGTAACAATGACGGAGCAGGCACTTGGACCACAGCTGAGGGATAGAAGAGTACTTCTTAGCTATTTTCTGTGCCAATTTGATCTCCTGTGGGCAAAAAACAAAAAGGTTTTTTTAATGCACGATTCAGGTTCAAGGATATGGGGGAGATATATCTCACACACACAATAACAGTCAAAGGTTTTATATTAACCGTTGTTGTGCTAACCTGCTTTGTGCGCCTAAACATGGGGGCAGGGCTGGTGGGACAGCTGTGCCTGGCAGCAAGGCGGGAGGAGGGAGTCTGCAGGCCCTCCACAGGATCAAACAGGTCAAGACTTAACACTGGGAAACCACTGTACCTGACATTGACAGCAAGCACAGTTTTACGCCTTGTCTTCCTATACATACTGCTACAACTAGTTATTATTTACATGGATACTAAGAATTAAAATTCTTAAAACCATTTTCATTTAAACTCATGAGGAATCAAGCATTTGCAGTAGCAAAGAAAACAAGCATATTTGAAGGCTTCCTTATAATTATCTACAAAGACATATATTCCGAGTGAAACACTGCAGAATACAAATAGCACATATCCTTATCAGCATTCACAGATTAGATCAACTTTCATCTCAATTTATTATTCAGATTTTTCAATGTTCTTCCTGTTGTTAGGTGTCTGTCCTGTGTTGAGTAAAGTCTCAAGAAAGATTAAGTATGGAGATGGCACTCAGCAGCAAAGCAGTACATCTTTTGGATTTACAAATAATATTAAACTTGTGTGTGTAGAAACTCCACATTATGATTTAAAATCCTAGTAGCAGCCTGTTGAATGTTTAAAACACTAAGTCAGAACATGATTCATGTAACTAGTAAATCTAACAAGACTACACATTTTGTCCTTTCTAATTTGAAAGCTTGGTTACTCTGATTCATTTTCAAATGGCCATGTGTTAGAATGTTGCAAAAACATTAAAATGTGAGAAGAATTGTTTTTTTTTTTTTTTACCTGTAGCAGAGTGGATATTCCTCTCCCTCAGGCAGAGAAGGCAGCTCCGGAGGTGTGATGAAGACTGTGTGCTCACTACGCTGAGATTCATCAGTCTCTATCAGTCTGTTATCCTCTGGTCTGTCACTGTCCACCTGCAGACAAACACACAAACAGGAACAGAAATGCTTGGATGCTCGTACCTTGCATTATACTGTGTAATAAATGTTTCAGTGTTTGCATAGGAGCGTTTCAGCCTGTAGCAAGTTGATATAAATTTTCAAATTGTTTCAGTTTTGTTTACACAATAAAAAAAAAAACTCTCAAGATCAGCCAGTATTCATACCACATCATACGTCATTACATACAGTAGCAGAGTGCTTTATGTATAAACTGACTTTCTACAGTAGAAGAGATCTGACTGTAAAGGCTCTTGTGTGAATTAGTCCCCTGCAGTCAGTCCTATGTGACTGATGCATAGTAAGTACAAGCCTTCAACTACCTTGACAGAAGCATTAAATTACTGTTTCTACCAGCATGTTATAGCCCCTTATGAAGATATGGACGCTGTATGGTGGGGTAAAATACTCCAATTTTTATTAAAAACCTGTCAGAATAAAAACATCTAGATGGTGAAAAACATAAATAAAGTAAGTAAACTTTTTATTTTCATCAATGACATTTGGAGTTACTTTACATATTTTCCTACAATATTGTTGTTGGTGGAGCTTATAGATAAAACTTTGAGTTTTCCGAGCGAATCTTAAAGCCTGAGATGTCAGCTTTATGGTGGACACAAGAAATTAAGGGTCATGGAGTGAAGCATATTAAACTGAGAAGTGCTTAATAACAGGCTTTAATTCTAGAAGCAATGATTTTATTCATGGTGAATAGAAGTAGAAGCACTTACTGAAAGTTCACAATTCAATCTAGCTGGTTGGATAGTAATTAAAGCTTGATAACAGCCTCAGTCAAAGCACCTAAGAGTGTGAGACTAAAGAACAATAAACAGTTTCTTTGATGCAGTCTAAGTCTTTTATGCTAAGACAATTTTCATTATTTCTCCTGTGCCTAGTACAGCACATCAAAGGCTAATATAATTTTCTGTGATGCTTCTGAGACCAGGTTAAACCACAATGCTAAAAGTACAATAAAATGCCAGCAGCACTGTGTAACAGGGCTTCTAGGATCAGCAAGCCCAGACCCATAGAACATCTGTGCAGAGACCTGAAGATGACAGATCATACATACTTAACCACTGTGTGCAAAGACTGTGAAAACTCAAACCTGTAATTGCTGCCAAAGGAACTTCTACAAAGTACTGAATTAAGGGTCTGTAAAGGGTTGTATAAAAAAAAATTTTAGTTTTTTTATTTTTAATACATTTGCAAAAACATCCATCCATTATCTATACCACTTATCCTGAATTGGGTGGCTGGAGCCAATCCCGGCTGACATTGGGCGAGAGGCAGGGTCCACCCTGGACAGGTCGCCAGTCTGTCACAGGGCTGACACAGAGACAGACAAGCACGCTCACTCCTAGGGGCAATTTAGAGTCACCAATCAACCTAAGCTGCATGTGTTTGGATTGTGGGAGGAAGCCGGAATACCCGAATGAACCCAGGTTTGACCTGGAAAGTGGTGGGGACATAAGTCTGGCAGTGAGTCTGGGGGTTCTACTACCCTGGAAAACAAATCCACAAGAAACCACAATCATTTTTATGATGTACATAACCTATATATGGTACATTATAAGCATGCGCTATAAACATTTTTATGTGTTATGAAACTAACTACATGAACCTGTTAGGATTTATCATTCCAATTAATAATGTTTTATAAATATGTGGAGCCAGAATACACTCTTGGACAACACCAAAGTGCACAAATACTTTCCTAATCACCTCTCTCCTCTCTATGCCTGGCCTGGGCTCTGTCACTCTCACTGCCTGCTTGCCTCTATCTGTGCAGTACTGCATCATTGGATTAAGGACTTTCTCACTAACAGGCCTCAAGTGGTGAGAATCAGAAGCTGCACATCATCCACACTGGTCCTGAACACAGGCACACCACAGGGCTGTGTGCTCAGCCCAGTTCTCTTCACTCTGTTTACCCGTGACTGTGATGCCATTCACCCCACAAACACAGTAGTGAAGTTTGCAGACGACACCACCGTAGTGGGTCTCATCTCAAACAATGATGAGACTCACTACAGAGAGGAGATCCAGCACCTGACAAGGTGGTGTTCAGATAACAATCTTGTCCTGAACACCAACAAGACTAAGGAAGTCACTGTGGATTATAGGAGGTCCAGGAAGACAAAACATGCTCTTCTTCTCATACACGGGGGAGGTGGAGCAAGTGGATAACATCAAGTTCCTGGGTATCCACATCACATCTGACCTGACCTGGTGTCTGAACACATCCTAACTGGTGAAGAAAGC